TGTAGGTATCTTTGTGTGTAGCATCGGTAATGGTGACGAAGTTTTGATAAGTCACTTGCTTGGTAAATGTGCGATTTTCGTTTACACTATTTTGACTTGCAACACAGAGTAAATATTTCTCCTGAGCATTGCTTATTTTATCGTGTTTATATTTTTACAGTCAAAATGTGCAAAATGTTCACTTAGGAAATTTATTAAATGCCTGAATATTCATATTTTACAAATTGACCGAAAAATATGTCCATCTATATTATTATGACAACGAATTCTAAACATTGTTATGTTTAATATCATCACCATATTGTTTGGCTTTTAATCCTACATAATAATCTTTGTGATGTTTTTAGGCCCTTTTAATCGTCAATTTTAGTCAAAGAAATGGACAGACTTTTCAGTCAAAATGACTGAAATATTAACACATTTTACAAATTGCATGAGAGAATCACATTTTACAAATTGACTGTAATATATACATGCTTACACAGGAAAAGACTAGTGAAAACAACGTCTATCGCGAATCAAAGAATTTCCCAACCAAGACGTTGAGGAACAAAGATGAATCTGTCCAATGGTACAGCAAATGAAGGAAAACAAAATGCAAATATAATAATTACAACCAACCAAATGTATCCGTGAATATCCACACAAAGGAACAATATCCCACATGTCTGCAGCTGTACAAAGAAACTTTTTCCATGTCACATGTCTCTGTAACAATCAAATATTTAAAAAAATATATATGTCGTTTTGGGATATTATATCCCGTGTTCGTTTCTCAACTGATCACTTAGATTGTTTCAGGTGTTTCACATAGGTGTCAAGTCTCAAAGGTTGGCTGAGAAAGCCCACGTGACAACTATTTTCATAACGTCCACGGTTCCTTAAAAAATCCATTGAGGTAGATAACAATGAGCAATTAATCAACGTATTATCGGCTAACCCTTTGAACAAAGTATGTTGTTTTTACATCAGGACTTCACGACATGATATGAGTGTATTCCCTTTGTTTTAGTAAACCTAGACATGTACACACTAACAGTGACTAATCAATGTATTGTCTGTTAATCCTTTGATGACTAGGTACGATCCTTGATTTACAAAAAAGTAAATCAACTGATCATTCATCTCTTACTGGGCTGCCACGTGCATATTACATAACACACATTTCACCTCACTTCAAACCTGGATTTAGATTGAATTACCCCAGGCACAATAAATGCCAAATGAGAACCTTTGTCAGGTATTCTGAGTGGTGCTACCACTAATTATACCTGTAATAAATTCATTAACTGAGCATCAAATGAATGACGACAAATACACAAGTGTAGGGTTATACCAGAAAACATGGATGAGAACAAGGGAGTGGTAATCGTATAATCGACGCAATCCAAATTCCGAAAATTCTTTCACTGCAGGGATACTTTTTATTATTATTAAACTATAACCATCAGGGGTATTTCCAAATAATGACATCCGATGAACCTCTGCCGTTCTTTTTGTCTGTTTGTTTAGGCTGAAGAAATTAATTAACATGCGCCATTTGTCGAAATCTTTATAGATCACGGTTAACCAATCAGTGTTAAAAAATGCGTAAAACAAATATTGCCTCCAAGTTTATTTAGCTGTCCTTGCAGACGGTAGCCCAGTCTCATGTCACGCTCAGTTGCGTTGCGTATCATACGGGTACTCACAGGGAAAAAACAATAACAAAGGCAAACAACCAGTCCCGGGGAATTGCTTTAGATCAGTGCCCCTTTAAGATCTACCTGCATACTGGAAGACTGGATGTCCATCCCTAAACAAAAACACACTGGTTGCCTGTTGTCACAGCTTCATCAGAGTTGGGCTCATGTCTTCTGTCTCCCCCAGCTGTCTGTTTACTAAGTATATATTGTAGATTATAGCTCTTGATTTCACTACACAAATGTAGTAAATTTCAACGATCATATTACTTTTCCACTGGGTCTTTGACAATGCCTTTATTTTACACTGGCCTAGTTTCTATTGAAAGAGACATTTGATTATCTAGGATTGTCAAAGCATTATAAATGTAAGTATCAGTTTCAGCCTTTTACTTTTGCTGTGAAAGACCTGTTTCAAAATGAAACATTGTAAATCAAAGTCTTAAAGTCACATATAAGATGAAGAAATCATTCAGGTTTGTTTTGTTTGTTTGTTGTTTAACGCCTCACTCAGCAATATTCCAGCTATATGACAGTGGTCTGTAAATAACTGAGTCAAAACCAGACAATCCAGTTATTTACATCATAAGCATAGATCCACGCAATTGGGATATGATGACATGCATCAACCAAGCCAGCGAGTCTGACCACCCGATCCCGTTAGTTGCCTCTTGTGACAAGCATGGGTTTGCTGAAGACCAAATCTAAACCAGATCTTCACAGGTAAACCATTTAAGTAAATTGACATGAGAGGATGTATCACAAAAGCCATACCTTCACTTAAAATAACTCTGATATGGATGGAATGAGACTTAAAAGTTGTATTACAAACTTTGGGGCAGAAAAATAAAAATCTTTGTTTGTAAATGGTGGAAATCTTTTTTACTCTTAAAGCATTTAACTAAATTAAAACAGATGTAAATGTTAGGTCACTGCACAAATGCTATCACAAACACTTTTATTACCACCTTAATTTCACTATGTGGATACCCTTGAAACTATTCCCAAAGGAATGATGCAGGTTTCTTTAAAGAGACTACAAACTTAATCTGACTCTTATTTCAAGTACATGTACCCTTCTTGAAGCCACAAGTGAGTTACAATCTTATTATTTGCCCTTCAGTCTTACGACTTAACTGGGAGACTCCAATATTGGCCTGACATCAATGTAAATTTACAGTGGTGCATGTCTTGTAGGTCTAGCCAAAACAGCCGACTTACAGCTGACTCACAGCCTAAAGAAAAATCACTGTTATTTACAAATTCACACATTTGGATGCTTGACAAGACTTGGTTTATGCAATATCAACATTGGATCACATTTGGGTAACGGAATGATTCAAATGCCTGTCATGTATTTCAGAAATCAAAAGAGTTTAACATACTCTCGGTAAATGTGAACAAGAAGCTTGGGGGTTGTCGAAAACACAACATTTGTTAAAGGATCTTGCGAAATGTAAAACCAAACTAATGACGCAATGAGAAAAAACATAGACAACAGGAATGTCTTGACAATAGAAGAAATGTTGACATACAATTTTTGTAAGTAATAAATTTGCATAATGGTTCATATTATGAAACATGTCAAACTGACAATTTTCCCCCAAGATGGTATTTTGAACTCATTATAACAATTTCTTACTTCTCTTACTATTCACTTAATTTACAACGGAAAAGGCAATATAATTTCTTTTAAATCAAAACACATATATATGCCTTAAAGGTATGTTAATATGCTTAAATTGCACTATAGAAGAGTACATAATGATTTAATGATTTAATCCAGGTCATGAAAGTTTTTGAAAATAGGTCATATATTCATCATATGACTGTCTCTTATCTGGCTCAAAAAGTTATGAAATGTTTTACTTAAATGAAAGTTATTTCTTAAATACATAAGAAACCTTTATACATATTTTTGTTTATTTCAATTAAACATAATATAAACTTTTATTTCACAGCAAGACTATCATTTAGTCTCTGAAATCTTATATTACACAATATTCTTCTTGACTCTAAAAATAAAAAAATTTCCCTATGCTGATTTGGAATAGAGCTAGCTTGAGCTGGCTAGACTTGCTTTTGTATGCATTTCTAGATTATTATTTTTTCATAAAATAAATATATTCCACGGTCATGGTGCAGGACTATCCGAGGCCCACCACTCATTCATACTGTGTTCTACATCCTAGTGTAAATGAGTCGCAGCCTGTGTAACTGTATATGTTCCAGAGCTGACTACAGCTACGTCCAAATTCCATGTCAAGGAAACTCTGGAACTGCTCAAGAATATTGCTGTTAATGAGGCTGAACACAGCTGTAAATTGAAATTTGTTGTTTTCACATTTGAAAACTATGTTGGTACTACATATATTTATCTGATCAAGTTTGGCAGTCATGTCTGTAAGTGCTATTGTTTTTCAAACAGTAGTAGTATCATTCAAAGAAGAATTCCATATTTTAAATATGTTAAATAAAAAAAAAAAATCAGAATATTTATCAATAGCATCAGAAATGAAACAAGATCTATTTGGGGGTAAGACTTATGCTTTTATGCTTGTATCCCCAAACGAGTTCAGAACCATCATCCAAACACACGTCTTTCGGACCCTATACACAAATTGTACCAATCCAAGGACACTCTTTGTAATGAACCTGCAAATATAATTGCATTGTTTACCTAACAATAACAATAAAAAGTGATCGATCCTGGCCGGTTTCACGCTTGAGTAAACCTGCACGTGCATCAGTTCATTTATCGTGTAACAAGGCGTGAGCAGTCGGCGCTTCGCATACAAATCCAACGTCAAAATAAACGCTTCGTCTGAATGCTAGTATTCGCAAATACACGTTTTTCTACTACTTCTGTGGCTCTTGCTATATACCTGAAAGCATATATGACCCCAAGCAAACCAGCTTCTGTTTTACACGAGGATGAAAAGTAGGCGTGCGGAGCCTGCGGTTGTCAATGAACTAACCATGGCTCACACAAAAGCTTATCACAACAATAGTCTGCCGACAAGACCCAAAATGTTGCACTTCATACATCGCAGATCACACTGTTTCATTTTCTCTATTACGTTAGATATCATCCAACGGATATGATCCTTTTTCCAAAATGTTGAACATTTTCACTATTATCGAAAGCAGGTGTCGAAGACAGCATCCCAATTTGTCATTCAATAAAATTGTTTATGTTAATGTTGTGACTTGCAACATTTATCATTTTGAGTTCAGTTTCAAAGGAAATAAATATGAAATTAGAACATATGATCGAGATAGGAAAACAAGAAAATCAAATGAACTGTCATTTCTTACCATATAATAAACAACGCGGCTACATCAAAGCCTTATCCAAGTGTGGTATATCCCTTATAACGACTGTCAAACCACTGAGCCCAACTCGCAGGAGTCACGCTTGTAGAGCACCGGCAAGCTAAAAATACCCCTAACATTTCAACCAATCAAAGGCCTTGAAATATTTTACCCTGGACTTGCAAGTGCTTGGCATCATGGAGGAAGGCGATGTAAACATTCCTAGACAACAAGGGTGTGAATGATATTTCTGGCCTGTGTGTAGTTTTACTGAGACAACTATTTTGTGATTTCGGGAGATGAGAGTAATAGCTGGAAGATGGTGAAGCAAACAATCCAGATTTTTGCTCGAATAAAGCCGACAAAGGCTAAAACAGGGGTGAGTGTTTCGATTTAGAATGAAATATCTCCGGTATTCGGGATATGTGAAGTTGCTATCCGTTGATCAACGAAAACGTTTCGAGTAGGTAGTCCATATTAGCATGACTAGGCACTGTCCACAAATTGTCCCCTGACAGATGTTTATCATTACTTTTCTTCATCTTGTCATTTATGAGTTTGTAATGAATTTTACAAAATAATAGCCTAATTTATACCTTCCTTTAAAAGACCAGATTTAGATTCTTTGCTTTATTTCAAGACTCTGGAAATTAAGATGGAAAGTATTATTATTTTTCACAATTCACTTGTTAGTAATTGTGATGGTTGCCCAGTCACTCATACTTGTAGTGAATGTAGCAACACCCAACTGAAAACTAGATCCATAATGGGGTCCTACGGTCCAGACATGCTTCTACATCACGGCAGAGAACACCACCTTCATAAATCCTGTTCAGACTGTGTTGGCCGATTCCCAGTGTTTCTTTCTGAGATTTTAAAAAAAAATTCCTGTAAGTTTGTGACTAAAAGGTTGATATCTCCCAGATGATTACCCTATCTGTACACAGCCTATACACACATACTTGTCATAATTTTATTACCACAACTTGAGGTAATAACCAGAACCCCGAGATAATCTGCGTGGTTTGAATAAAATACATTTAAAGGAACTGAATATGCAGACAAATCAAATCCTAGCATATCAAATACACAACAAAAACTATGCATACGCTGTTCAAATAAATATAATGCGTATATTACAACTATTAGATAAAACGATTGCGTATATTACATCTGTTAGATAAAATGATTGCGTATATTACATCTGTTAGATAAAATGATTTATATCAGCTGATCGACCAAATTCACTTACTGACAGTGAAATTCGGAAAAGCTTCTGTGACAAACATACTGATAGATGCACATCATGCCTAGTCAATGTACATGTTGAATCTTAATTAGTCGCTGATTGGTAATTAAAACAATAGCGCCTTTCTTACAATGCTAGGTTTTGCAAACAAAAATGACTTCCCGGAGAGTTGGCTGTGTGGGTTGTTGCTTATGCTTTCAAACTCTGGTTTGCCTGGCACTGACTTGATTGTAATACTGCATTATTGCATCCTTTTCAAAATCCATGTTAGAATTGGCCTTCAGAAGCCCATACTTGTTGTAAGCTGTGACTAACAGGATCGGTAGGTCATGATTGCTGACTTGGTTGATGCATGTCATCATATACCATTTGCATAGATAGATGCTCATGATGTCAATCACTGTATGTTCTGGCCCAGACATGATTATTTTCAGACTGCCATAATATAGCTGGCATATTTCTGAGTATGGTGTTAAACAACAAATAAACAAAAGAAACATAATGGCTGTAAGGCCTATACATGATGAAAGAGAGATGATTATAGAAATGTCAATGCAACTTAACTGCTTTTGATCTTACTGCACTTGCCTATCCATGCCTGTGTATCCTTATGATGTTACATGTCTATGACATCAACGGGGTACACAATGGTGTTAGTGGTCATCAGTAACTTGACACAATTAACAAGTGTGTTCTTATTAATCTAACAAAATACAGCCTTCTCTTTACACTTCACGGCCACTGAATTAAGATTGGTCATGTCAATTGATAAAACAAAGTGCCATCTGTTCAGTGATGCATGACCATTGTGTTGGTATGTTGCATGTACTTTAGCAAGCAATCGGAAAAAAGAGTAATATTTCTTTTTCCTCTTGACAGATTGTTTAGACAGGTGTACATGTGTAAAGGTTAATTTGTGAAAGAGTTTAATATCTTGGTGACGATTAATTGATGTACAGTTCACAGTTCTCTGTTCCACAAAAACAAGTAATAGAGAATTGTACTATAGATTGCGATTTTGTCATGTTTATGTCAATCATATATTTATTTTATTAAAACAGCCGTGTGATATTATGTCACTAGGCTAGACTTGATTATTTTTTTATTTATATTTGATGTCATGGTAAGTAGGTGGGAGAAGAGGGGATAAAAAGAACATTTCCGATTATGTTACTGTTCTACTGGGTGTTTTGTGAATATGTTGTCATGTATGCAGTCTATTCGGCCAGAATACCATTGTATCTGTTTGCATTTGGCCGAGTACAATAACAATGCTTTTAGATCACATTTTTGTAGATTGGTTTCCACTTTACTTATTGTTACGAGTGGTGCATCTGTAATCATCTCATAAGGAAAAAAAGACTTTGACAATATAAAAACTGTTGATACTTTCACAATGATAGACAAATCATATGTGAGGATATTTAGAAATTGTTGTTAATTTTACTCCTTCAACATTTTAAGTAATGTTGTAATAGGTTTGTGATTAATTTGTTCATCATTTAAATATGTTGGTTTGGTCCAGTTTCAGAACTCCATCTTCCCAAAACAAGGGAGTAAGCTGACTTTAAAAGTCCAGTTTCCGACAACCTTGCCAAATTAAGCTGCAATTATGGAGTTAAATTTTGGCTGGACTAACGTGTTCAAAATCGTGTAACAAAATTGACATCTGGTTTGTAAACTGCCATGCAGATTTCGGTCAATTGCAGGATTTACAATGCAAAATCTTGAGTCAACAGATATTTTCCAAGGATTTGATGCACTTTGATAAGTAAGCCCAGTTTTATTAAATCATAGGGGTAAGTTAAGTTTATGTGATTACAATTTTACTTTTTCTCAATGACAGCGCTATGGTGTGGACGAGGATGATGAGGGATGTCCGCGACTGACAGTTACTGTACCAAAGGAATTAGCAGAGGGCTTCATCAACAACAAGAGAGAACATTATAAGTTTCGGTCAGTTACCATAGTTACGGTCAATCTCTATCCGTGGGTTTAAAAATTTGTACATCTTTATTCACAGTAGTCACAGACTCATGAAACACAGCTCTGAGTTGCTAGAAATATGTAATTAGTCTAACGACTAAATACAGAAAGAGAAGGAGAGTTTTTGAGTCCATTTGGGAGAGAATTCCACAGTGAAGGATAACAGTATGCGAAAGATCATTGTCTGGACATATTGAGATTAACACTTGGAACAGAAATCAAGACACATCAGTTTTGGATCATTTGTTTGAATCATTTTAAAATAATATTTTGCTGTGAACATTTAACACAACAGACAGTGGAAGAAACTCACTTTTTTAGTCCATTAGTCCTTAGAATGATAACATACAGCAGAACCCTTAAGAATTGCTAGTTTCTACTAATCCTTATAATACCTAACCATTGGTGAGTTTAGCAAGGACAACAGAACAAGTGCCAGTTTCTAATACTGAGTCAATTGATCCAATTTTCTATGTCCCTCATTCGTGTTGACAAAACTTGATGGATGTCTGAGACATACCACAAATTGCAATAAAATTCAATTTTTAAACTTATCCGATCTCACTCTATGCATTTCATCCTTCTTCTTCCTCTCCCTTGTGTGGAAACGTCCTTGAACAAAGTTTTCAGCTTCTAAGCTCTATTTCGTCCAAATACTGCTGGCATCACCATGACAACCACCCCAGCAATCAGGTCATGCACCCGAATCTTGTGCAGCTTGCTGTCCTTGATCTGGTTACCTGACATCCTCTGCCTCATCATTCTCTTTCTCTTTGCATCACAGTGGAGACATACAAAGTTTTTGGGAGAATATTTAGGCCTTTTATTTCTCTTAATTATACAGGAGTTCAATCCACTTCTGACATTAAATGGGCAAGGATCAACCAAAACGTCAGCACTGTGAGAAGTGCCGGCATATTATTTCTGTGGTGGATCCTCACACTTTATGTTGCGATTGTCGAGGAGTATGCAAGCCAACACTCAGATGCAAAGAATGCTCACATCTTTCACCAGTGACTTCCTAAAGAAATGCCAAAAGAGGAGCCTCACTCTGGCAGTGTGGGTTCAAATCTGTACTTTACAAAGAAAGTGTTATCCCAAATATAACATTTGTTACAATACTCCATGCCTACAACTTTGGGGGATTGCGTCCACCTCAGACATTGAATCCTCATGAGCTGTCCCATCCACCATGGGATCCCAATTCTATTATCAGCCCACCGCTACCTTGAGCATGTGACGCAGTAATGGTTTGAAGATCTTCTTATGGATAATGTGGATCCTTTCCTGTGGTAGGATCAATAGCTTTGACAAAGCGTAAAATGGGATGCCAAACAAATAATGCCTGCATCAATGGAGCGTACCAACAACTTTGTTTGTAGAACAAATTGACTGGAGACCCCTTCCGAATTGGTTACAAGATGAATAGACGAGGGTAATCTGTGACCCACCGTCCAACCATGGGATAAATGCGTAGAGTGAAACAGAATAAGTTTTAAAATTTGTAACTTTTAACATAAATTGTATATTAATAGTACTTATCCTATCTCACATGATCTATGCCCACCCATCCTACCCCACATCACAGTTACACTCACTAGCCGCGATTCGCTTTGCAGAATTGCGTCCCTTGGGCATGCCAGAAACCTATGATTGTGGGTTCGAATCCCAGTTCGCCCCGATTATGTTTCTAGGTTTGTCAGCACCATACCCGTGCTCGTTGGTTTCACCGAAGTGGTAAACGTCTGAGACCTGCATCACTTCGGGCTTTCCTCCCAACATTAAGCTGACACGCCGCGATATTACGGGAATACTGTTAGAAGCGGTGTTAAACCCAACTCACTCACTCACTCACTCACTCACTCACTCACTCACTCACTCACTCACTCACTCACTCACTCACTCACTCACTCACTCACTCACTCACTCACTCTTGAAACTTTGGTCAAGGACATTTCCACACAAGGGATAGGAAGAAGAAGGATGAAATGCATAGAGTGAGATAGGATAAATATTATAAATATATAATTTATTGTAAAATTTACAATTTTGGTAAGCAGTGATATATTGAAGAAAGATTGTTTGAATAGTTTCAGTGTTATTTAAAGGGCTACTTTTTATCCCTAATTTGTCCTAAGAAGGAAATGGCAAAACCCCTAATTGCAATTGCAAGTTGTGTCAACATTGGCATAATGTTCTGTTTTTATTTATCTATATATGTTTTTTTGTGTGTCATGTTTTCAGTTTTGAGCGGGTTTTTGATCAGAAAACAACACAAGAAGAAGTTTTTGAACATGTGTCCAAACCAGTTATTGACAAGTAAGTCCATTCAAACAAGGATACATCACCATGATAATACAGTGAATGAAAAGGACATTTTGGGGTTATACATCATGTACATGGGGATCAATCATTTCATCTTTTGCAGGCACCAGGGTTTCAAAGAAATATAATCTGTCCCACTGAAAGATAGAAATATATGATTTTTCTATGTCTTTGACATTTCCCGACTTTGTGGTGAACTTAACAAATTGTCAAATGAAAGCCGAGATTTTTTTTATGGATGCCTCAAACATTTTCTGTTTCTTAGATATCATCTCAACTTTTTAACATATTCAAAACACAATAAACTTTACATGCCACAGGGATTTATCTTATATTCAGCCTCAAGTGTCAGTAAATATACTGAAACACATTGAAAACGCACCAGTGGTACAAGTGAATTTTATGCTCAACCAAATTATATATGGTGTTGGCTGTGTACTACAATCACACTCCGATAACCGAGTTCCACATTTGTAATGACAAGTGTCATTGGAAAGTACAAATTTTAATGTCGAGGAAATAAAAAACACAAGGGATCCAAAGGCAAAGTCAGTAATGGGTATGACTGTCCCTGGTTGCAATGCATGCTACACAACACTTCGCATGGACACTATCAGTCTCTGGATAACAGCTTGTGATACCCTACACCACTCTCGTTGTAGGACAAGTGCGAGCTCTCTAATGTTGGCGATTTGTAGGACAAGTGGGAGCTCTCTAATGTTGGCGATTTGTAGGACAAGTGCGAGCTCTCTAATGTTGGCGATTTGTAGGACAAGTGCGAGCTCTCTAATGTTGGCGATTTGTAGGACAAGTGCGAGCTCTCTAATGTTGGCGATTTGTAGGACAAGTGTGAGCTCTCTAATGTTGGCGATTTGTAGGACAAGTGCGAGCTCTCTAATGTTGGCGATTTGTAGGACAAGTGCGAGCTCTCTAATGTTGGCGATTTGTAGGACAAGTGTGAGCTCTCTAATGTTGACGATTTGTAGGACAAGTGTGAGCTCTCTAATGTTGGCGATTTGTAGGACAAGTGCGAGCTCTCTAATGTTGGAGATTTGTAGGACAAGTGCGAGCTCTCTAATGTTGGCGATTTATAGGACAAGTGCGAGCTCTCTAATGTTGGCGATTTGTAGGACAAGTGCGAGCTCTCTAATGTTGACGATTTGTAGGACAAGTGTGAGCTCTCTAATGTTGGCGATTTGTAGGACAAGTGCGAGCTCTCTAATGTTGGCGATTTGTAGGACAAGTGCGAGCTCTCTAATGTTGGCGATTTATAGGACAAGTGCGAGCTCTCTAATGTTGGTGATTTGTAGGACAAGTGCGAGCTCTCTAATATTGGCGATTTGAGGTCCCAGGTAGTCCCACAAGTGCTCGATGGGCGATAGATTGTGCCATGGCATAACAGGTTCATTATTCTGTGCCAGGAAGTCCATAGAAGCATGTGCTGTATGCAGTTCTTGGTGTTGACGGAAACGGGACAATGTGACGTCTTAAATTGGCGTAAACTGCATTAACATGCCCTATGCATACATGGAACTGTGTTCTGTGCCAAAAAACTGATACCGCCCCAAACTATCACACTTCCGCCACCCCAATGATCAGTCTGCACAAAATAATTATCATGATAATGTTCACCACCACGATGCCATACTCATATATGTCCGTCAGCGTTCCTGAGGTGAAATCTGGATTCATCAGAAGAGAGGAAGCCATTCTAGCATCGTAGTAACCATTGTCTGTGCCTCAGCAACCATTGTAGTCATGTGTTTCAGTGCCATAGGGTCAGAATCAGCCCTACATAAGGACGATGAGTACGTAAACCAAAGGCGCGAAGTTGCTGGCATACAGTATCAGCACTGATAACTCCTTGTCGACCTACGTGGGTATCTTCAGTTCTGGACACCGGAAGTGTTCAATGACGTAGATGAGTCCTTACAATCTGTTGGTCTTCCCTGGCTGTTTTCACACCCTTGTTGCCGCGGGCATGGTCGGTCTCTGGTTTGCTGAAATCGCTGGTTCTGTCTTGTGATGGTACTGTGGTGACATCCAAACCTTGCTGCTATGGCCTTTGCAGTCATATCAACTTCAATCATGGCAATGGCACATTCCTGTTCCCATTCCTCAAGTGTCAGTCTCGGCATTGCATCCTCAGTGCGATTCCGTGGCTACAGCGATAATGTGGGTAGCCTTTGAATGCCATCCCTTTATACCCCATTTGTGCACTACATTGTAAGGACATTTTGCATTTTTCGTCCTTTGCACGTGAGAAAAAGTGTTTTTGAGTACTCTGTTGCATTTTGGTGACGACTCACAACTGACAACGGCTATCAAACCTGACCAGTTTTGGAGCTTCTTTAACTCCTAACCCTTCAGTGTTTTCATTGTTCTTTTCCAACTATCATGATATTTTAATGGATTCATGTTGGTGCGTTTCAAAGCAGGTCATTATATGCGCATGTTGAAATTAACATTTCCCAATACATGGGTACAATGTTTGAACCCATTTCTGGTGTCATCCGTTGTGATATTGCTGCAATTTTGCTAAGACTCACTTACTATTGCATCAGGATTCTACATCTGTTACAAAATCTCTGCAAGAATGTAAATGTCCATCAAAGAAATCTCTTCATTTTCCACATGCCTTGTCTAGTAGCTGAGATAATGCTAAGTAAATGTGGCAAATGATCAGTATCAATTGAACATGTTGGAATGGTCATGTAAGTGTGTTACCCTAACCATCAGTGTGTGGGATGTAAACATTCACCTGTTTATCTCACTGTCTGAGATACGTGTGATTTCTTGGTATTGACACCCCGGCCTGTAAACTGTCCTCACATATTCCTTCACAGGGATTCTGACACCTCTAACTTTGACTACCAAAACATCAGCACTTCGAGGCATTGTTTTGACACCAGTTGTTTGTTACGTTGGTTCCTGTGAACATTATAACTTTTGTACATGGTTCAACCGTTGTAGAGTGAATATTTTTATATTCATCTTTGTTTTTTAATTCCTTTTTTGTTGATGCATGGTTCGACAGAATTGCCTCAATGTCTTGTTTGGGGGACCCTCTCAAGATCTGAGATTTAATGTATCTCAATAGCAATCCTGTATTTGATAAACTATTAACACAACAGAATATAAGGTGAAGATTAGGGCTGAGACGAGTCCACATTTGCTACTGTGGTATTTACAACCCCCTATTACCTGACCCTACCTGGGTACCTGCTGTAGAGCTCAAATTTCCTATTGGGAATTTGTTTTACTGGAGCCCTGGCAAAAAGTATTTAGGTACACCTAAAAAATGATCTGATCATGCATAAACTGAAGTTGACTAAAGTTTTATCTTTACTCAAACATATAAAAATATTGTGTTCATAGTCAGAAAGAAATGTGAACATTATTAACTTGTAGTGTAACAGTGGAGTTTTATTGTTATTGTCATTAAAACGTTATATTACATGATTAACCATGGTTAGTCCTGTGGTTACTCTGGTCCAACCTGAGTACCCGAGTACCCATCCTGGCCCTCGTGAATATTCTGTAGGAGATATCATATTAGTCTGTTGACATGGTAAAGTTTCATAGCTGACACAAGGCACTGATGTCTTGATATATTGCAATTTATTCTCCATGCTGTGATACACTACTTCTTTGTAAAATGATCAAATGTTTGATACTTTGAGATTATACATTGTATTCATGTCAAATAAGCTGCAAGATACTCAATGTTAGTTTTGTATTCTGCATACATTTTAAGGCTGAAACAATTATTGTACAATATGTTTTTAGATTCATTTTTCATTATGAAACACTACTTCTGTTTAAGGTTGTGTGATTTTATTTTAATATTTCACATGACAGAGACATTGAAAGCTGGCTTTCCCAATGTGTCGCCAAATGCAATTTTTATTTGTAATATATACTATTTATGATACGGAAAAACACATGGGTAATGATCTCTGTATCATATGATACTGTTCTTAAAATAATCCCTATCTAAGCTTGGATAATAATCTATATCTATTATTTCAGTATACCATTAATACTTGATTTGGTAGATGACGAGCATATGTTAACAACAAAATGTCACTCAGTACAAATTTGTAAATCTGTGAAGTCAATCAAATTTTGAAGTTGTGTAAATAGATATGTAGTTATAGATTGTTAAGGGTAGACAAGATGTAATTTGGGGAGACAGATAGGGTTGTCATACCCACATTAGTTAAAGCTCTAAGCATTTATTTAAGCAGACAGTATTCTTTCATGAGCAGTGTTTCTGGCATTTTGTTGGGGGAACAAGATAGCAAAGTAGTAAACAGCTACATCCTGCATCATTTTGGACTACCGTCCCACATTAAGCTGACATTTCAGGATGTAACTGACAATAGTACCAGTAGAATCAGCGCAGCCCCGTCACATTAGGGTGTTATTCAGTTTCCTTGTAATCTCATTTCTTGTTTGAGTGAGAAAAAGTGCAGATTCCATAATGTAATAATATACAAGAACATTTTTTGTCAGTTCAGATAAGCACAAAATGACAATGCTTGGCTGGCAACCACAATTTGATGTACATTTGGGTTAGTCCTTAGCATGATTAGATTAAGCTTTAAACAACTTTTTATTCATTTTTATCTCATTTTCTCTTTATACAAGTCTGTTGTGGTCCGCCATTTTCGATGGTAATATTGGAATCCTATAATGATGAAAATATGACTTTTTGACAAATATTTCTCGTCCATTTATCATCCATATTACATGTGATTCTTGTATTGTGTCTTTCAGTGTGTTACAAGGCTACAATGGCACAATATTTGCATATGGACAGGTAGGTGTTGTTGAAGACCGCACATTATCTCGTTACAAGTTTGCTGACAGGTAAACCTAGCTTGTGTCAATATTATCACAAGGTAGCTACTGTCACCCCTCACAGTTGTGTTTGGTTCGTTGTCATTTACACAGCGAGACAGAAATAAGAGAGAGTGTGATCGCCCCACACCACAACCCACAAGTTTAAATAGCTTTAAACTGTAATTAAAGTTGTTTTGTGTTCGACTTTAATTTTTGATGTTCTGGTTCACTGAAATCACGTTTGCAATGTATTCTAAGTGTTGGATAAATTTATTTATACTTAGCTTAAGACTTGATTTGATATGTGATTTGTTTTTTTTCCAAACTGTCCTTAAGTGATTTCGACATGTCAGAGTCAAAGAAAGTCATTTGAACATCGCTAGACTGTCTGAACGGTCATTTCAGCATGTTTGTTTTTCATGAATAGAAATATATACTCATTGGACTGTTTTATTTGTTCAGTGCTGGGAATCTTATGGTGGCTGATAAGAATTATTATTAATATTTTATTTGTTTATGTTCAACTTTTTCCTGTTATATTTGTGAGTCCATTGCCTCACACTAATGACAATTGGAATCTGTATTTTGACTTGTGTTTTTATGTTTTAGTTATCCATTGATTTTCATATGCCAAATCCTGCATCCTAGATGCATAAAAATGAAAACAGATACAAAAGAAAAACTGGAATGCAGAAAATTTGTATGCATGTTTTGGAATTAATGCTGCTTTTTCATAATTTGGTACCACTTAAAATCCATTTCCGTATGTGGTCATTTAAAAAATACAATGCCATCGAATGTTTAACGATCATCTTCTGTGAATCTTAGAATATGATATAAATGATATTTGTTGTCATGAAAATGATATCATTACTTGCTGTCAATGTTGTGTTGTGTTGGGATGTTTTTTGAGTCATAATGAAGACATTCTGACTGTTCCAGACAGGCAGTGGGAAGACCTTCACTATCACAGGAGGGGCAGAAAGGTACATCGACCGGGGCATTATCCCCAGAAGTCTGTCATACATATATGATAAGATCGAGAAGGTAATAATTTCTTTTGTGTGGCAAATTAATTGTCTTTGTCCTGCACCCCTTTCTATACATCTATTACAACACTTTAAGGAATATTCCAGCAGTGTCACAGCAGGGTCCACCGGAATTGTCACTGGTTGAAATAAAATTACAGTATGACCTTGGTGAATGTGCATCTTCTGATCCCATTAGATCATTGTTGACCCCATCCATCATCCACTGATTTATCTTATATTGATTGTATGAATATTGTGATCAACTGATCTTGATGTTGAGGACTTAAAACTCTATTTCACTCAATCACTGTCTCACTCACCGTCTCACTCAATGTCTGGATTTCACTATCTTGTTCACTGTCTTGCTTACTGTCTCAATCACTTGCTGACTCACTCACTATCTCACCTGTTGTCTCACTCCCTGTCTCACTTGCCGTCTCACTCCCTGTCTTGCTTTCTCACGCTCAGTTTCTCTCAGTTCCTGAGAGAGTTGCTGTCTCACTCTCTGTGTCACTGTCTCACTTTCTGTCTCGCTGTCTCACTCTCTGTTTCACACTCTTACTTGTCTTGCTGGTACACTCTCTGTCTCACCCCTGTCCCACTCTCTGTCTCATGCTATGTCTCACTCTGTCTCACTCTCTGTCTCACACTCTTACTCTGTCTTGGTGTCTGATGCTCGGTTTTACTATCTGTATCACTCTCTGTCTCACTCCCTGTCTCACGCTCTGTCTTACTGTCTGTCTCACCATCTGTCTCACCATCTGTCTCGTGCTCAGTCTCACTCTCTGTCTCACACTCTTACTCTGTCTTGCTGTCTCATGCTCTGTTACACTCTTTGTATCACTTTTTGTATCACTCTCTGTCTCACACTCTTACTTTGTCTTGCTGGTTCACTCTCTGTCTCACTATCTTACTTTGTCTTGCTGTCTCAATCCCTGTCTCACATTCTGTCTTACTGTCTGTCTCACTCTCTGTCTCACTATATTACTGTGTCTTGCTGGTACACTCTCTGTCTCACTCTCTGTCTCACTATCTTACTGTGTCTTGCTGGTACACTCTCTGTCTCACTCTCTGTCTCACTATCTTACTGTGTCTTGCTGTTTCACGCTCTGGCTCACTCTGTGTCTCACTGTCTGTCTCACGCTCTGTCTCACCCTCTGTCTCACTATCTTACTCTATCTTGCTGTCTCACATTCGGTCTCACTCTCTGTCTCAGTCCCTGTCTCATCCTCTGTCTCACTCAGTGTCTCACTATCTTACTCTGTCTTGCTGTCTCACACTCGGTCTCACTCTCTGTCTCAGTCCCTGTCTCATCCTCTGTCTCACTCAATGTCTCACTATCTTACTCTGTCTTGCTGTCTCACACTCGGTCTCACTCTCTGTCTCAATCTCTGTCTCATTCCCTATCTCACCCTCTGTCTCACTCTGTGTCTCACTATCTTACTCTGTCTTGCTGTTTCACTCTCTGTCTCAATCTCTGTCTCATTCCCTATCTCACCCTCTGTCTCTCTCTGTGTCTCACTATCTTACTCTGTCTAGCTGCCTCAGACTCGGTCTCACTCTCTGTCTCAATCTCTATCTCACTACCTGTCTTACCCTCTGTCTCACACTCGTTCTCACTCTCTATCTCACTCTGTCTCACCCTCTGTCTCACTCTCTGTCTCACTCCCTGTCTCACTCTGTATCACTATCTTACTCTATCTTGCTGTCTTACGCCGGTCTCACCCTCTATCTCACTCTCTGTCTCACCCTCTGTCTCACTCAGTGTCTCACCCTCTTACTCTGTCTTGCTGTCTCACACTCGGTCTCACTCTCTGTCTAACGCTCTGTCTCATTGTCTGTCTCACTCTCTGTCTCACCCTCTGTCTCACTCAGTGTCTCACCCTCTTACTCTGTCTTGCTGTCTCACACTCGGTCTCACTCTCTGTCTAACGCTCTGTCTCATTGTCTGTCTCACTCTCTGTCTCACCCTCTGTCTCACTCTGTGTCTCACTATCTTACTCTCTCTTGCTGTCTCACGCCAGTCTCACCCACAATCTCACTCTCTGTCTCACTCCCTGTCTCACTCCGTGTCCCACATTCTTACTCTGTTTTGGTGTCTGATGATCAGTTTCACTATCTGTATCACTATCTGTATCACTCTCTGTCTCACTCCCTGTCTCACGCTCTGTCTTACTGTCTGTCTCACCCTCTTTCTCACTATGTCTCACTCTCTGTCTCACTATCTTACTGTGTCTTGCTGTCCCACGCTATGGCTCACTCTGTGTCTCACTGTCTGTCTCACCCTCTGTCTCACCCTCCGTCTCACCCTCTGTCTCACTCTCTGTCTCACTATCTTACTCTGTTTCACCCTCTTTCTCATTTTCTCACCCTGTCTCACTCTCTGTCTCACCCTCTTTCTCACTCTGTCTCACTCTGTGTCTCACACACTTACTCTCTCTTGCAGTCTCATGCTCAGTTACACTCTTTGTATCACTTTCTGTCGCACTCTCTGCCTCATTCTCTGTCTCACACTCTTACTTTATCTTGCTGGTTCACTCTCTGTCTCATTATCTTGCTCTGTCTTGCTATTTCACGCTTGGTCTCACTCTCTGTCTCACACTCTGTCTCACACTCTTACTTTGTCTTGCTGGTTCACTCTCTGTCTCACTATCTTGCTCTGTCTTGCTATTTCAGGCTTGGTCTCACTCCCTGTCTCACTCTCTGTCTCACTATCTTGCTCTCTCTGACCCCCTCCATGGTCTAGTGGTAGAGCGTCTGCCTGGAGAGTGGAAGGCGGGGGTTCGTTCCCCAGCCCCGTCATACCAAAAGATGTTAAAAGGTGGTACTTGTTGTTACCCTGTCTGGCGCTCAGCATTAAGGAGCTAAAACAAGGCTGGTCGGCTGGGAGTCAGTATACTGTGTCTGAGTGGGGTATTCATTTTAAACTGCGGCATGGTATCTCAGTGAGGTAGCACTATAAATTGGCATTAGTCGGAACTAGTACAAGCAGCCACATACACACACAACGTTGCTATATAAGTGCAATAATATTTGACGCGACGTTAAACCCAATTTCACCTCATGTCTTGCTCTGTCTTACTGTCTCATGCTTGGTCTCACACTCTGTCTCACTCTTTGTAGTGCAGTCTCATTCACTGTCTCACTATCTCTCGCTCTGTCACTGTCTCTTGCTCTGTCACTATCTCACTCCCTGTCTCACGTATTCTTGCTGTCTGACTCACTGACCTTTCGCAAACTTTGACCGACCACTGAAATGACTAACAAGAAGTCGTCATCAGCCAATTAGGAAGCAGCTTTCGTGAGCTTTACAGCACTGGTTTCAGCCTGGTGACTTCCATTTCAGACCACCCTTGAAAAATATGTTGACACAGTTCTCGATAAAAATTTTGATAACTTAACAAACGAACATTCCGCAATGTCTAATAAATGGTTGAGATTGTATGGCAGTGCTTCCCATGTACTGTGTAACACCTCCTCCGTTTAAATGTTTGGAAGCGAGAGATAGACGATTATTTTGACAGAATCAGTCGTACGGGCGGTAACTGTCGTTCGGAATGCCCCGTGTTAACATTTTCGAGGTTGCAAGATTAGAAAACACATTTCGACTGTCACTTTCATGATCTGGTAAGCGAGGCTTTGATTGGTCAGATGAAAGGTCTTTCTAATGTGACTTGCAATGGGATGTCCTCAGATCTTTGTTTAGCGGCAGCGAGAACTAAGATCTGATTTTAATGAGATTGTACAATCCGCAGAAATTTGGATTTAACACATAATTTTGTAGCATGATGCTAGTATCACATTGTGATGTCATGTATTGGTACTGACCAAGACATGGCTGTTTATGGGAGAGCATGTACATGAAGCATGGTTTGTTATGAATTGTGACATATAATGTTCATGTGTTGTTTAGTGTTTGTATCATAATAATCACAACTTTAGTATCAAGTTACTCATCGCTTCCTGTACCTTAAAGTGTACAGTTGCATACCTAGTATTCAATATAATGTGTTTCCTTCAGCAGTTGTAGGTGTGAGCATATTGCCTGTGTCTGACTTGTGTCGACTGTTGTCCAGAGCCCAGAGCTGTCTTTCACTGTCCATGTGTCCTACCTGGAGATCTACAACGAGAGTGGCTTTGACCTCCTCGACCCCAAACATGAGGCGGCCAAACTGGAAGATCTGCCGTACGTAGACAGTCCACTTACATTAAATAATATCTGTCTCTGATCTGGATTTGATCAGCAAGTGAACATACGTTCATTATTGTGCTTCAATCATAAATTTAAAGTTGATTGTATAATATCAGGAAAAGATACTGTGTTTTCCTGGCTGTGTGTTTGTCTGTTTGCCTGTTAATCTGTCTGTAAGTACCACAGTCCACTAGCTGTGCAGGAATGTGTCCCTTATGGAGAACTCTCTGTCTGTATGTCTGTGTGTGACCACAGTCCACTGTCTGTGCAGGAATGTGTCCCTTATGGAGAACTCTCTGACTGTATGTCTATGTGGGACCACAGTCCACTGTCTGTGCAGGAATGTGTCCCTTATGGAGAACTCTCTGTCTGTATGTCAGTGTGTGACCACAGTCCACTGTCTGTGCAGGAATGTGTCCCTTATGGAGAACTCTCTGTCTGTATGTCAGTGTGGGACCACAGTCCACTGTCTGTGCAGGAATGTGTCCCTTATGGGGGATTCTGTGTCTGTCTGTCTGTATGTCAGTGTGTGACCACAGTCCACTGTCTGTGCAGGAATGTGTCCCTTATGGAGAACTCTCTGTCTGTATGTCTGTGTGGGACCACAGTCCACTGTCTGTGCAGGAATGTGTCCCTGATGGAGAACTCTCTGTCTGTATGTCTATGTGGGACCACAGTCCACTGATGGAGGACTCTGTGCCTGTCTGTCTGTATGTCTCTGTGGGACCACAGTCCACTGTCTGTGCAGGAATGTGTCCCTGGTGGAGGATTCTGTGTCTGTCCGTCTGTATGTCTGTGTGTGACCACAGTCCACTGTCTGTGCAGGAATGTGTCCCTTATTGAGAACTCTCTGTCTGTATGTCTATGTGGGATCACAGTCCACTGTCTGTGCAGGAATGTGTCCCTGATGGAGGACTCTCTGTCTTTATGTCTGTGTGGGACCATAGTCCACTGTCTGTGCAGGAAGGTGTCCCTTATGGAGAACTCTCTGTCTGTATGTCTGTGTGGGACCACAGTCCACTGTCTGTGCAGGAAGGTGTCCCTAATGGAAGACTCTCTGTCTGTATGTCTGTGTGGGACCACAGTCCACTGTCTGTGAAGGAATGTGTCCCTGATGGAGGATTCTGTGTCTGTCTGTCTGTATGTCTGTGTGGGACCACAGTCCACTGTCTGTGCAGGAATGTGTCCCTGGTGGAGGATTCTGTGTCTGTCTCTCTGTATGTCAGTGTGTGACCACAGTCCACTGTCTGTGCAGGAATGTGTCCCTTATGGAGAACTCTCTGTCTGTATGTCTGTGTGGGACCATAGTCCACTGTCTGTGCAGGAAGGTGTCCCTGATGGAGAACTCTCTGTCTGTATGTCTGTGTGGGACCGCAGTCCACTGTCTGTGCAGGAAGGTGTCCCTGATGGAGGACTCTGTGCCTGTCTCTCCATGTGGCTGTTAATCTGTCATTCCGTCTCTCTATGTGTCTGTTAATCTGTTGTTCTGTCTGTTAATCTGTTGTTCTGTCTGTTACCATGGTCCTCTGTGCAGGAAGGTGTCCCTGATGGAGGACTCTGTCTCTCTCTCTCTATGTGTCTGTTAATCTGTTGTTCTGTTTGTTACCATGGTCCTCTGTGCAGGAAGGTGTCCCTGATGGAGGACTTGGAACAGAACATTCACCTGAAGAACCTGTCTGTGCACCAAGCTGTGAGTGAGGAGGATGCTCTCAACCTGCTATTTCTTGGGGACACCAGCAGGATGATAGCAGAGGTACAGATGTCTTCTCTACCATCCGTCACCCATGTGGTGGTCAGAATCTTTTATTTCAGTCTGCACAGAATCACAAAAAAACATTTGGGCTTAAAGTGATAATTTTTTATCAATTTGTATGCTTTTTTAATTTTATCTTTGAAACATTTTAATTGCACTCGTAATAGGTCTAAAGTCAATACTCTTGATTTAGACTTTGCAACAGAAACATTAATCTCTATTGAAAAGTAAAAGAACTTGTTTGTAATTCCCTTCACGATTTTTATCCAGTTAGTGAAAGTTTATGCTGATTTTATCATGTTTACATTCGGGACTTAGGGTTGTGTTGAATTATTCAACTTGTTTCAAGTTTAAAAGATTTCATTTTCTATTTGATGCTTAAATGTAAAAAAAAACTATTCATCTAATGGTATTCAATATGGCAATATTTAACATTTCTTGTTGAATAAGATTTAGCTGCCAGGAGCTATTCCCCTAGATGTGTTCACCACCAAACATTGCACAGATTATTCTTTTGCAGATTAAGGAGAGTAAATGTGAGATTAATGTGTGATGAATAATGATCATTATAATTATTTTCTGAATGGCTACCATGTCATCAATTAATATTTTTTCTTAAATACTGTTTGACACATTTGCACAAGATGTACTGTTTGTAATCTTATGATCTCCTGCATGACTGTTCTCACACGTATCTGCCTCCCAGACCCCGATGAACCAGGCGTCTACACGGTCTCACTGCATCTTCACAATACACCTTACAGCACGGGAAGCAGGCTCAGCCACCATCCGCAGGGCCAAGCTGCACCTGGTGGATCTGGCCGGGTTGGTCTACATATTGATATCTACTTTGTGTGATTACGGGTTAGAATAGGTTTTTAAGCAGCCCATGCTTGCCCAGCAACTTATGCTTTTTGTAAGCTGTGGCCTCATGGATCAGTTGGTCAGACTCTGTGACTTGATCGATTGCATGTCATCATTCCCCGAAAGCATGGCTAGTTGATCGCAATATCAATCACTGAATTGTATGGTCCAGACTCAGTTATTAACAGTTTGTCATCATATAGGTGGAATATTGCTTAGTGGGGCTTTAACTGAAAAAGAGTTGACTGGGACATAAAACAACATTTGTTCATTTTGAAATTGGTGATCAGGGTGATGGATGAAAGTACTAATTATGCTTATGGTGCAAGCAGCCTATGCTTGTTGTAAGTGAAGACCAACATGATGATTGTGTGGATGAGACCTGACTGATCGTGTGTCATGGTACCACAATGGCATGGATCTGTGATCGTGGTATCAATCACTGATATGCTTGGCCATGATATTGCTGCAAAATGTAGCTGTGGCATAAAACAAAATTTGAATCTCTGTGAGTGAAGCCAAATGGTACAGCAGTATTATATGCACTGGCAGATCAAGATCCAGAGGAGGGAGTGGGGTGCACCCCTGTGTTTTAGGACACCTCACATGCATCCACGCCAAGTCACTTTCTGTAATTGGTTTCTGTGGTCAGATCTGAACGAGTCTCCAAGACAGGGGTAAATGGAGTTCTGCTGACTGAAGCCAAATACATCAACTTGTCCCTCCACTTCCTGGAGCAGGTGAGTCAGGGAAGATAACTCTGGATGCGGATTAAACTAAGAAGATAACGTTTTACTTATCCTGCATTACTCACTGATGTATTCACTGCTTACCTTACAATAAAAGAAGGACAGCGCAACAGTGATGGTCCTGGGTGAAGAAATAAAGTTGTTATTCTGAAGTCCCACATTTACTGACCACCGCTGCTGTCCTGTGACTTTGATGACACCTAAGGTCACCTTCTTCACATCACTACAGCAAGGACATGTCCCAGCAGAGCTCTCCTTTTGGATTAATTTAGACCTTCAGTTTTCATCTACAATTCTAAAATTGATCTGGGATGGGTTAACCTTTTCATATTACTTTCACCATGTTGTGTAGTTTTATGTGAATAGATTAGGCGTAAAAAGACTCCGTCTTTTTCCCCGCCACATACTTGTTATTCGCTGCCATTTTGAATTGTGTTACAATTGTTTGCCTGCCAAGGTAGTCAAATTATTTACAATTTTCAGCAACGAATAACATATTCATGTGTTCTTAAATACTACTAGCTTTGGCGTTACTGTGAGTTGTGTATATATAAATTATTTTATACACTTTCAACTTGTTAAAAATATTTTTGCTGATAGATTATTGTCAATTCTATTGCTTTCTTCCAGTCCCGCTTCATCAAGATTTCTTTATTTGCGCAACTTATGCTTGCGCGTTGTATTAATTTACATGGAAAAAATCTTACAAAGATTATCATCCATGTTGGTGAGCTTGCACTCAGATGTGCTCTCCAATCTCTAAATGTAAATAGCCTTGGTTTACATTGAGTTGCGTATATAATGATAATTTAATATTGTGGTTTGTGCAAATTCAACGTATTTGGTTTTCTACATGCATGTCCAGTGTATTATAAAATTTATTCTCATGTACGTGTTTATGTTGCGCTACAACTATCCCTCGTAAGGTTTCAAATTCCCCCTCTGCGCATGCGCACGGGAGCCTTTTTACCCATAAGCCCTGTGTCTCTCCATGCCTCTCCCAAAGCTAGAAGGACAACAACACTCGCTACAACTGCCGCTTGCACAGACCACCTCCTGCATGTCAGCAAGGTACCTAAAACACCGACAATGGCACCGAAACGGTCGTCAAGGAGAACCAGGGCAACTGTTCCTGTCGAAAATGTTTCATCCGCAACAAGTGAAACTTCTGACAACAGTCGCCATGTTGGGTCACAGGTCAGAGCGAGTGCGACAGGCAGAGCCGTCCCTTACGAGACAACAGTTGACCTTAGACAGAGGCTGCGCTCCTTAGGTATCACAGTGCCTGCATCATGGGGAAGAAAGACGATCCTACAACTGTACAAGGAAAATTTTAACGAGAACCACACGGTCAGTGGAGGGGCCAGCGCTGTTCAACATTCCTCCCCCGTTTCCTCATTGTCGTCTGTACATGCTGTTCCTTCCTGTGACGTTACTCCCCAGTATGTAAACAGCGGGAATTCTGACAGCTCTACTAGCATTCCGGCAACAGTGACAATAGCAAGCAACCAGTTATCGTCAGCAAATGTGGAATTGGTGGGAGTCATGCGGGAAATGAGGGACATGATGACATCCCTCACCCAACGTCTATCCTCTGGAGCTCCCAGTGGAGAAAACATAGCCTGGCCTACATCACAGACAAGTCCAACGCAATGTGTTCTGTCAGATTCCGTGCCCCATGTCAACTTTGTTGACGAAAGTACAAGGCGTAAAATTCACCAAGGTAAATATATTAATTTGGCTTCTCTGTTGTTACCATGCCAAGAATCCGGTGAATATAGACTTGCTGAAGAGACAGGTTCATGCAAAAACGTGTTAAAACTTGACCCACGTACCACCAGGAATTTGAACTTTGCCGAATTCAACAGAGCCTTCAAAGTATTCAAGGATATCTTCTGTGAAGCTTGGCCAAATAGGAGAGAGCAATTGGAACAACATGAACGTACAGTAGCGGAACTCCACAGTTTGTATGGAGGATATGTACATTATGAATACCATAAGAGATTCGCGGCTCGGGTGGCAGCACTGGCTGAGAGGGGTACGCACATCACCTGGGGCGTTCCGGACACCAGAATTTATACCACTTGTACTTCTGGCCTTCGCTGTAGGTCATGTGACCTGTGCAGTAGCATCAGCCATGACTCCGCGACATGTCCATCCGTGTTGACGAACACCTGCGAACAAGTCAGCCCACGACATAGCTTGGGAAAAATGAATGTAACGTCCACAAGCACTGCAAACAGCTCCACCGATTCACATGGTCGACAAAAAATATGGTACCAGGGACAGGAGGTTTGCAATAATTTCAATGATAGTGGCTGCATGCGTATTCGCTGCAACTTTCTGCATGTTTGCTCCACTTGTTTCGGGAAGAATCACAACAAATTGGTTTGCAAAAAATACAACACTAATTCCAATAAGGGACATGGAATCAACAAGTGACAATTTGCTGAGGAATTGACACCATTAAATACCAACATCATACAAGAGGAACTAAGGCGTCACCCTGATCAGAACTTTGTAACATACTTGTGTGATGGACTGAGACACGGTTTTCACCCTCTGGTTGCAACAGTGCCCAAATTTACCTGGGAGTGCAAAAACAATCTGAGTGCCCGGAAAGAACCCGATACCGTAACACACCTTGTCCGTCAAGAATTAGATCGGGGCTACATTATTGGACCATTTTCAGTCCCCCCTTACCATGTGTTTCGGGTCAGCCCCCTGGGCATCACTGAAGGAAAATACAGCCATAAAAAACGACTGATCCTGGACCTTTCAGCCCCACATGACAACGATGACATTTTTAGCATTAATGATACGATAGACAAGGACATGTGCTCTTTAACCTACGTGACAATCGATGATGCCATACGGGAACTGAACCGAGTAGGCAGAGGCGCGAGTATGTGTAAGGTGGATATAAAAGACGCCTTCAAGCAAATCCCCATTCACCCAGATTATTGGTCACTGTTCGGATTTAGATGGGACAATCAGTATTACTTCTTCAAGCGCCTAGCGCTTGGATGCCGATCTAGCCCTTGTATCTTTGATTGCATATCACAAGCCATTGTTTGGATCCTCACAAACAATTACAAGGTCCATTTCGTTTTACACTTGCTGGATGACTTCCTCACCATTGATGAACCCAACTACGAAGCTTCTATTACTATGAAAATATTAACAGCCACTTTCAACAAGTTGAAAATTCCGTTGTCCCCACAAAAAACCGTTGGACCAGCCTGTGAGATGGAATATCTAGGTATCATTTTAGATTCAAATACCATGACTGCCCGACTACCCCTGGACAAGTTGGCTAGAATATCGGAGTTAGTGCAAGAGTTCAGTCACAAGAGAAAGTGTACCAAACAACAACTACTGTCTCTGATAGGACATCTGTGCTATGCCTGCAAAGTGGTTGTGCCAGGAAGATCCTTTGTGTCTTACCTCACTGATCTATCTAAATCCGTTAAAAAACTGCACCACAGAGTGAACATTTCTGCTGAATGTCGTTCTGATCTGCACATGTGGCATGTGTTTCTCCAGAAGTGGAATGGCGTTTCTTTCTTTCACGACTCTTCCAGGACACAGGCTTCTGACATGGAACTGTATACCGACGCATCTACTTTAGGTTTTGGAGGTTATTTTCAGGGTGCTTGGTTTTCGTCACCTTGGCCACCATCTATGCAAGCCCATTGCCAAAACAACAGTCGATCCATGGCGCTACTTGAACTGTATCCCATTGTAGTAGCAGCCGTTTTATGGGGCAAGCAGTGGTCAGGGAAAAGAATCTTGTTCTATTGTGACAATGAATCAACAGTAAACATAATCAACAAGGGCAGATCAAAATGCAAAAACATTATGCCTCTCATGCGTATGGTTACCTCACTAGCAGCCTCTGACAATTTTGTGATATGTGCCAAACATGTACCAGGCGTGTCAAACCAAATTGCTGATTCTCTGTCTCGGTTACAGATTGCCAGATTTCGGAAACTTGCTCCACATGCGGCACCACAAGCAACACCATGTCCACAACACTCACAGTTGATATGGGTCTGGCAAGACACCTAGACACTCTATAGGATGCTGCAGTGGCGGCCAGAACCAAGACCACCTATGCTTCTGGCTTTGAGTCATACGTTGCCTTTCTCCTGAGATATAGCCTGTACTCTACATGCTCAAGCCTCACACGGGCAGCACAAGGTCTGCCACCAGTTAATTCTGCACTTCTGCAACAAAATGTGGCCTTTTGTTTCGGTGAGGCAAAACTACAGTATGTCACTGTCAAATCCTATCTCGCGGGTATTCGGTTTACCTATCTGAAGGCAGGTGTACATACAGTGTTTGATTCAGTGTCTACTGGTGGTCTAAATCAGCTACGAACCCTACTTCATGGATACAAGAAGCTACGACAACAGGGTGTGCCCAAACGCTTACCCATAACCTACGATGTTTTGAAGAAGATTGTGTGTACACTACGCAAAGGGGTGCTCGGACCTCTCAATGATCTGGTAATGGAGGTCACGTGCACCACTGCCTTCTTTGGTTTTCTACGATGTGCCGAGTTCACATGTTCTCGTGACTTCGATGCTAGTACCAATTTAAGTCTATCTGATGTCACCATAGACCATAATACAGGAAAGTGTACTCTCGTACTCAAAGCTTCAAAGACATATATTTTTAGACAGGGCGTAGTCATTCCCTTGTTTGCCAACCACTCTCCCATTTGCCCTTTTGCCAATTTGAACCGCTTAAAGCAAGTGACCATGAAACATGCACACCTTGACGCAGCTAAATACTCTGGACACTCTTTTCACATAGGGGCAGCGACCTCCGCTGCAACTGTTCGTATGGAAGATCACCTCATAAAAACACTGGGCAGGTGGCAGTCAGACTGTTTTACACGTTATATTCGGACCCCAGAGGACGTTATTAAGAATGCTCAGTTGTCTTTAATTTCTTGTCCATAATACCCAGTACAGGGACATCTCCGATCAGCTGCATTGAATTGGTTGTGTTGGTCTATTCCTTTGTACGATGTTGATGTATCTTGTGATCCCTCTCTATATTGTTGCACACAATGTACCTTCCTTACCACACCTAGCACAACTTGGGGGCACTCACTCTTGTAAGGGGGTACCCTTCTAATCACTTGCTTTGGGCTATTTCCACTCATCTAGAGTGTCCTTTTCTCCCCCAAGTCCAAACCAGAGCTCAGGTCGCAGCCCCGGTCCGCAGACCACCGTCCGAGCCGCCGCAGCGGCCCCAGGACCCTCGCCTAGCTCTCGGTCGTCCCTCTCCTTGTAAATAAGCTAGCACCAGAGCTCAGGTTGCAGCCCCGGTCCGCAGACAGGACAGCACCTAGCTCTCGCTCAGCCCTCCTCTGTGATAAAATCAGTCAGCTCCCAAGTTCGTGCCAAAACCATTATATGTATGTGTTTGTTATAATGTACATTAAATATTTTTGCATTCTACCTCATTGCAGTATGTCAGAATCGCTGAATAGCGAAGGACATGGTTCAGTCATTACCACGTGGCCATAATCATCGGCGGGTAATATGATGCCCGTAACTATGACTGCAGAAGTGCACCCTCTGCTGAAATCAACAATAACGGAGGATTTTGTGAGTATCATAACTGCTCCTAATTTTCAGCCGCCTGAGGCATACAAATATGCTAAATCTGCGATGCCGGCACCAGTATCTCAAGACTTGATGGGGGTAACACAGACGCAAGCCATGATCCAGCCAATACCAATAAGCATTGTGTCTCAGATATGTACGACAGCCAGACGGGTACATCGGCACATGACTCCTTATCCAGGCAGGTCATCAAAGCCTTCTGATAGAGGAGACACTACACACCGGAGCAGATCGCTGTCTAAGCGAGTGCATCAACATTGTTCAAATGGCAAGGATGGCAATTCCTCTGTAGAGTGGAATACGCATCTTGGCTTAGCGCAAGCACCGGATGGAATAGCAGACCGTCTCGTGTCAGTGGCGCCCTCCCCTGGTAACGGGGTAAATAAAAGGGACACCACAAGGTCATTGGATGAAGACTTCTCCAAGCTTACATTTGCTCCGTCATTAAAGCCAGCAACAACGTCAGTGCATGCGGTGGATCAGGATCTATCAGAGGATAACACTATCATATTTGATCATTTCCAAACTATGGTGAATTTCTCATGAAAATTCATCTTGAGGCCTCTCTGGCAGAGATTACCATCACACTTGTGTGTTATGCGCTTTCTGACTGGGACTTTGAGTTCAAGCGCAGGCTGCTATGTCAACCTTGCAAGGATTGACACTGCACTCAAGACTCTAGAGCACGTCTCTTTTAGTCTATCCCAGCGGGCTGGCAGGTCAGGCAATTATAAGCCTAGACGTGGGTCTCTCAAGGAAGACCAGTATTTCCTTGAGGGAAAGGGTGTGGCAGAGGCAAGTCACAAGGATGATAACGTACTCATCATACTACATCATGGTTTCCGTCTACACGTAGAGGTAACCCCACCGTTGACCACCGCTCCTCCGACTTGGAAAATCCAACATAGACATCTGTTGGTGAAAAGAGATGAAGAGATGCCTCACAACCCAGACTGAACATCGACTTGTTTGCTACTTGCCTAAATCACCAACTCATGACGTATTTGGTTACACTTAACTCAGTGTTAGATGTTCCGGAAAATCACAAGATTAGTAAGGTCCTGAAACTACAGGCCCTACTACGCTCAATCAGGCTTGAGGATCACATGGCCAAGTTCCGCCCACCTACTTGGGACTTGAACGTGGTCTTTGAGGTTTGCGAGGACCCCCCTTCCAGCCCCTCTATGCATCCTCATTTTATGACCTCACCAAGAAAACTGTTTTCTCTTGGCATTAGCCACGGCGGCACGGGTGAGCGTACTACACGTGATCTACATCACCCAGGTCCGCTTTCAGCATGGGACGCATGGAGCGGTACATCTCGGGTTGTGCTGGGATTTAATGGCAAAAATCAACTACCAGGCCAACCCCATAGTTCCTTCACCATCCCACCAATATCAACTATTGTGGGAGCTGTAGATGAGGGAGAAGTTTACCTGGGCTCAATGCGAGCACTTTGAGGTATCATCCGCCGCTCCAAGACTAGGCATGGAAGCAGTACATTTATAGTTTTGTCCCTCTGGTTGTGGCCCAGCAGGTAACTAACCCCCGACACAAATAATGAACTTGGCCTATACAGAGCCAGCCTACTTCCATGTGCAGTCTCTCAGTTTCTACCAGTGGAAGAATATTAGACAATCTTGTTTGTCAACGATGGCTCTATGACGTAGTAAGTAAAGAATTAGCTGATAAGCTATTATTTTCTTTATTACTAAATGTGTATAGGGAATTTCTCTTTAATTCCTAAGTTCAATCGTTTTGATATTTGAACAACCCAACCGTAATGCCATTTTTCTGAACTTTTCTGCTTCACGGTTTATCGATAAAATGGTGTCGTATTTCAGGCTGTGAATTATTGAGGTTTGTGTATTCTGAAGGTTTACCCGCCTCCAAACCGTCTGATACAGATGCATTAAGGAGTAATGCAGGATAAGTAAACAATTTAGTAAAATCTAAATATTTTTTACATTTGTATACTTATACTGCATTACTACGTTTAAGGCCCACCCGTCGCAGACTTGCCTCCCCACTTCGGTTTCAGAAACCTACGAACGACAGGCAGTGATGTGAAGAACGTGACCTTAGGTATCATCAAAGACACAGGACAGCAGCGATGGTCAGTAAAAGTGGGACTTCAGAACAACAACTATATTTCTTCACCCACGACCATCGCTGTTGCGCTGTCCTTCTTTTGTCATAAGGGGGCACGCGTGGCCCAGTCATCTAAGGCGCCGTGCTGTGCAGAGTTGCGTCCCTTGGGCACGCCAGAAAACTATGATTGTGGTTCGAATTCCGGTTCGCCCCGATTATGTTCCTAGGTTTGTCAGCATCATACCCGTGCTTGTGGGTTTCACCAAAGTGGTAAACGTCTGAGACCTGCATCCCTTCGGGCTTTCCTCCCACATTAAGCTGACGCGCCGCGATATAACTGGAATACTATTAAAAGCGGCGTTAAACCCAACTCACTCTTTTGTCATAAGGTAAGCAGTGAATGCAAGAAGGAGTAATGCAGGATAAGTATACAAATGTAAAAAATATTTAAATTTTACTTTAAAAAATTCATATTGGATGATGTCATTGAAAATTCATTGAAGATCTCATTACTGACATTGTTAACTGAGGATTTCAAATGTCAAACATATGTTGGCATAAAGCAGAGTATAAAGCAAGGTTTATTGTCAAATAATATTCAGTGAGTGAGTGAGTGTGTGACTTTGGTTTTATGACGCTTTCAGCAATATTCCAGCAATATTACAGTGGGGGACACCGGAAATGGACTTCACACATTGTACCCATGTTGGGAATTGAACCCAGGCCCTCGGCATGAGGAGTAAACGCTTTAGCAACTAGGCTACCCCACCGTCCTCAAATAATGTTGAATTTTGAAAGTGTGTATTATGAAAACAATATTTATGTTGCCATGAGTTTGACCATTGACCCTTACTCTACATAACATTGACTGAAATGATTAGCAGTTGTCAGAAAACAATCAGACTTTTATCTCATATTGCCCTAGAAGGAATTGAATACCATGATTGGAAAGCTTGAATTATGAAATGTATATGTATGACAAAAAAAAGAAAGACATTCAGTCTATGTCATATTCTCCTGGCAAGTTTCAAGCAGTAAGTAATATGCAGGCAACCTTTCGCCTATACTATGGAGATGATTCTCCCAATACAGCGTTTGTTCTGAGACCCTAGTCAGTGAATGTTCTGGGATTCACATTGCTGTAAACAGTATCTCAGATATATCATAGTTTGTTAGCTTACCTAACCAACCCACCCAAAAATCCACCCAGGCACCCACCCAACCATCCACCAACTCATTCACTCACTCAATCACTCACCTTCATGTAATAAGTATTCATGATGTCCCTTCCTGTATCACTGACACCGCTGGTGGGCACACTGTTGCAGGTGATCATCTCCCTGTCTGAGAAGAACCGCCAGCACATCCCTTACCGAAACTCCATGATGACGTCGGTGCTGCGAGACAGTCTCGGAGGCAACTGCATGACAACCATGATTGCCACGTGCTCCGTTGACAAGAAAAATATTGACGTGAGTCCTTGAATATGTTCATGAAAAATCCTAACATGACATATTTGTTTGTTTGTTGTTTAATACCACACTCAACAATATTCCATCTTTATGGTGAGATCTGTAAATAATCAAGTCTGGACAAGACAATCCAGTGATTGACATCATGAACATCGATCCATTTAAACAGTATTTACAGAGTATATTGTTGCTCATTAAAGTGAATTGAGTATCATGGTGAACATGAGATGGTTTGAGCCCAAATATTTGACACAGCCAAATCCACAACACTCATCACTCCTGCTATCGCCAAGGAGTATTTGTCACTGTAGCATGGAGATAAACTTTTGTTGTGAAAGTAAGTAGTTCCAGCGTCTGTCTGCAATGTTTTCTAGCTTGTTTAACATAACTAAGTTTTGGATATACATTGTCATGGTCTAGTGACAGTAGCACCTCCTTACTCATCACTGTCTGGTGGCCAGCACAGCTTGCCACAGCTCAGCGTCTCTATGTTTATTAGTGTATTGTTAGAGAAATTGTTGCCCATAAATTTAATTCTCTAGCAGTTTAATCACATACTTTTATCATGTATTGATTTGATATATGTCATCTCAGATATGTATGCAAGCTTATTCATGTATTGAAAGTGTTTTTTAACTTTAATCTTCACGCTGTAGCGGGATCATCTAGTACCATGTAGATATTTCTCATGTATATATAGTCATTTTCTGCCACCTTACTAACTGTACATATCTCCCATATTGATATATTGGTTGATTTGCCGTTCATGTTTTCCTTGTTTTAGGGAGCACAACTCTGTTAGCTCACGAGGCTAGCAAGGGGAAGTTGTCTCACTTAGATCCATGGCATTATCAAGAGTATCTACCGCCAGGATTTGCTAGACCGTATACAGGTCATATTGTTACTGGGTGGTCAGGTCGAAACTGTTTTGCTGTTAGTCAGTTTTGCTGGTACGTAATGATGGGGCAGTTTTGATCTCGAACTGACATACTTCTGGTGTTGCTGAGCTAAACTTATTTCACAAGATTGTCTAGTTTTGGTCAAGTACCTTTTTTACGATTGTGAGTCAAGTTACTCTTTAGGTCATGAACCTGTATTTTCGGGAAGGAAGTCAAGAATTTCATTGCTCAGTCCAAGCGACTTTAGTCTATAGTTTGTTTATCTTAATTATCCAAGAGACATATTTTTGGAATATGCCCTCAGTGCCAATTTCTCCCAATTTAACCAAGCTGAGGTTATGCACTCATTAGAGTGTTGAGTTAATTGTCTTGTTGATTGTCCTGTCAGTGTGTTGTTTTAGCCAGCTTTAGTAACAGCTGTCATATAGTTGCTTAGCTGATCAGCTTGTATATTGGTTTATGGTTTATTAATCAGTGATCATTGTCAGTGTCAAATGGGGGCTTGATCCTTTAGATTGCCTCTCTTTAGTTACATTTAGCTGATAATAATAAAACTCTAAACTTTTACCATGTTTTCTATCATTACTCTAATCTTATTTAATGACACCGTGGCCTCAGGAGCAAAGCTCCATGACAGGCAGCAATATCAGATCTATCTTGTGACTCATAGTACCTCAAAGGCTGCACAGTTAATTGTCATGATTATGTCTGTACAGGCTTGCCATGTTAAATTGTATTGGTTTTCACAAGATAGCTTCACATGTGTCATTAGCAGGGTATACAACTACTTTCTGAATGTAAAAGTCTGTGCACCCACTTAATGATATTTCTAAAGTATTTATTAATATTTAATTAGTTATTAATATTTAATTAAATATAAAGATTTAATTTAAAAAATTTAGTTTATATTTTTGTGTGACTTTTAGATGTATTTTTGACAAACAAGAGATGTCACATCAAGATTTTATGGCAGGTAATGATAATGTATGATACATCTCATGGCCTATTGTTCTTACAGGAATCTATCTCCACCTGTCGTTTCGCCCAACGAGTGGCAATGATCAAGAATGATGTGATGTTGAACGAGGAGTTGGATCCCAAGTTGATGATCCAGAAACTGAAGCGAGAGATCCAGCAGCTGAAGGAGGAGCTAGCACTGGCCACTGGCCAGCAACGGACTGACCAACTCACAGAGGAGGAGCTTGACAGGTGCGCACCAACTGTACACAGTTTATTGCTCAGTCAGTATCATTCCAGCTACATCATGGCCTGCTCAGGATACAAATACCAACTGAAGTTTACTTTCTGTTAACTTGATATTACGCTTTACTAAAACCTGAACATTCATTATCTGTCGCAACCATTGCAAGATACTGTTTACAGCTTGATTATGGATAGAGGTAGATGACTTTGTGTTGATAAAAATGACTATTTGACTGGCTTATCTTCTGATTAAGGTTGGAAATGAAATTTGATTTTCCTTAGTTGGCAAAAATGATGTGCTACAGAGTTGGCATCTATCTAATGATAGAGTGATAGTCCACAAGGAAATGTCGCTAGTACTTCCTGAATGTTACTAGTCTTGGACTAGCAGATTTATGAAAATTTTGAATTGTTAACTGGAACAAATGAAGATGTTCCTGTAACCTATCGTGTTGCTGTGTTCCAGGTGTGAGGAGGCTGTGAATGCCTACCTCGAGGACACTGATCCCGACTCCATCATCACTGTCGGAGCCGACATGCAGAAGATTCACACCTGCTTTAATATACTACGGGTACGAGAGGGGTCACGTAACAGTAGAATGTCCATTTAAGAACCGACTTCACTAATTTTTGTGTTTATGGAGGCATTAACCATTTTCTATTTGTATGCCTCCAAAAACGCAAAAAACAAAGTGTCAATTCATATGTATAATTATGTCAACAATAATAACATCACCTGCTGAATATTTATACATTTACATAAAAACCTGTTGATGACAAAATCAGTGAAATCATTCTGCGCAATAATGCCAAACAAGCCCCTGCCAATTCTTTTATCAACCAGTCAGAAAACAGTAGTCCGTCAGTGTCTCGGTGTTGTTTGATTTATGGAGGCAAGTGCTAAACAAATTGCTTGGTTAGCCAATCAATCGCTGCAGAATCACTTGCAGTTTATTTATTACACATAACAAAGTTAGTATTGAAACATTGAGGTGTGGTCTTGAATTTTGCAGTAGTGTCGTGGCCCATCTTGAGCTCGAGCACACAGCCAATGTTTCCTGGTTAAATAAGATTGTGTTGCCTTTCGTGCCTTGTGTTCTGAATTATTTAATTTTTCCTGGGTAATCCATTAATTTTGGTTTACCTCATGTTTGTGTGTTTTAAAGCTCTGCTTTTCACTACTTTTTGCGTAATTGTTTGCTCACATCAACTTTTACAAAACGAAAAGTCACATCAATGTGACTCTGCTTAAATCCCAGAATTTATGCCTCATTGTACTTGTTTCTATGGGAACAATTCTGGCTGGGACCCCCCACCCTCTCTACCTTAATTGTACGATGCCATGTACTTTCACAGTGTAGTGCCGATATTGCAGTCTTTTGTCGCAATGCTCCTTTACCTCTTACATACAAGTAATCAGGGAACATCTTACTCAACATGCTGTCGACACCCTGTGATGGCTACCACTCAGAGACTACTTCCCTCATCGAGTCGAGGCCTTCTTGCAGTCTCCTACCCCGATTTTTGCAACGTTCTCCTTATCATCTCCACATACAATGTCATTAAATAAGCCAAGCGATGTTGAGAATTTTGAATCTTTGTTTACTATATATAGCCTGCGGTGGCACATCTTACATCAAGCGCTAGTTTATGAAAGCACTTATATTTTCAATATACAGTCTTCAAAAAAAGAAACATGCAGGTAGTATGTAGTTCATTGAACCTGACCTGACTACACAAAAAATCTGGTATAAAATTGGATATATGTTATTGGAAAATGTTGGTGGCCTGATATTCAACAAATGGTGCGTCAAAACACAGCTATTGTCGATTTGCAATGTCTTACACGGCATTGTTTTCACACTTGTCCAAAAATGTCATGGAGGAAAACAGTAAAGCAAAATGCTCGTGCAAGTTATGGCATTCGTAACTCGTGGTAGTAGCTATAAAAAGGCAAGCATAAGCCAATAATTTGTCATTCAATTGTCAACATTTTTCAAGTTTGAAAATGCCAAAACTCAGCGCTGCCGATCAGAACATTGCCATAGTACATATCCAAAGAGCGGAATCGCAGTCTTCTGTTGCACGCAACTTCAACGTCCAGATGGAAGACAACGTGTTTATCGTCGTCGAAATGAGCGTTTTGCCCCACATTGTGTATGTGAATTCGACATTTTCGGTGGCAGTAGTGTCATGGTGTGGGGGACCATATCCTACACCAGGAGATCTGACTTGGTTGTGGTTCAAGGAGATTTGACAGCAAATTGCTACATGAATCAAATACTTCAACCTCACCTTCTTCAAATCATTGACCGCCAACATCAACGTCTTGCCCTGGTCGTCGAGATCTCCAGATTTCCACCCAATCAAACTCCTCTGGGATGAACTCGATCGACGTTTACGTCAACGTCAGAACACGCCGCGGACACTCCCACAACTGGCCAACATGTTACAAGCAGAATGGCGCAGAATTCCGCAGACAGAATTTGTACACTTATCCAGTCAGTGCCGAGGAGAAACTCATGCGACTGGAAACTTTCCATATAAGCCACTTTCACCCACTATGTTTATTTCAGTAAAGATTCAAAAGCAGATTCACCCTTATGGCATCACTACCCATGCTTATTCCTACTTTACTATGATCCTCACAGTGTTTTTCTGTCACAAAAATCATCTGACAAATTATTAAATACCATGTCATTCATGCGTCTGTGTAGACTCTGATGGCTGACACCTGGCACACTGTTCAGTTTGCTATATTGGCTCATTCCTCACCACTCTGTATCTTGTAGCGTTGCATTTGTAGACTGAAGTCACGAGACACAATGCCAACCCATGACCTTCGTAAGTGTCCATCACCTATCAGAATCTGAGGGTAGCGAGTTCGTGTCTGAAGGATTCTCATAAAAACTGGTTGCTTGTCTTTGTGACAAGTGACCTATGGCGGAGATCCTCCTCTCGTGAAGTTGTGGTAGTGTTATTGCACAAAATCAGTCTTCAGTGTGTCGTGGTTCTGTATACAAAACCCAACAAACATCAAGCTTGGGGTAATCAGTTTTTGAGAGTCCAAAAAAAAGGGCCCCAAGCTTTGTTTTCAGCAAACTATATGAAAGCAGTTGTGGGAAGATGTACTGTTGCCAAGTAAACAAACAGCTGTCAACTGTCAAGCGTTAGTCAGAGTGGACCAAAACTAGGTATGTATGAATAAACTGGAACACAGTCAGTTACCAGATACAGTTAAATATACCTTTGACACCATATTCACATGTTAAATGATATAAATATATTTAATAAACAAGCAGAACATGACTTTGCAATCATCATTCAACTCCCAGTGTTCGTTTTCTCATTTAAAATGACAGTTACAAAGTTGCATGCAGTATAAATGATAGATACATACTGTCAAGTCAGCACTGGGTCTGTTTTTTGCACTCATTATAGCAACACCAAAGAAATCTAGATCTTATATATGATGTTACTATAAGTAGACTCAAGTCAGCTATGTTTATTTTACATAATAATTTGTTTGTATGGGATTATAACCTAACCCCAAGATGTGTAGCACTTATTTAATTTTGGATACCAATAATATTTTCTTATTTTGACAACATAAGCTCCTGAATAAAAATAATTTACAAAGTAAAAAAAGCATGTATTAGTGCCAATTTCAAGGTCATACAAGTCAGATAATGTTTTCTTGACAACATATTATGAATATGTGTATGTCAAAGACCTTTGGATGAAAATATATTGTTACAGGTAAAATATCAACTGCAAGGTGACTAATTTAATTATTATTGGTAATGGAACTTCCTAGTTAATAAATGCAATAATTATGAGGGGATATTTCTCTACTTTAGGGAATGCAATAATTATTAGGGGATATTTCTCTACTTATGGAGTTAATATATTTGTTGGATGTGTGAAAATGGAATTGTCCATTTATCAGGTATATCAATATAGATACTTTGAGATAGAATTTGATAAAATACAAGACATATACAAAAAGCATACACATTATAAACAATCTTTAATTTTTAATCTTATATTAAAATTTAAAATTAAATATGATTATGTCAATTTGACTATGATTAAATAAAAGTGAATATTATTCATGGATAATTAATATGTTCATTTCTCAGAAAATTGGCTTATATTTTGCCATGTCAAAATATGCTTAATATGAATTATTTTTATCATCATACAGATATATTTGAAAAAATATTACATGTTCTTTTTGTCACAGTAGTGCAACAGATGTGAAAATAAGAATGGTATTGTCTATTAGCCGAATAAATTGATGTAGATGTTTCTATCTATCTTACCCCCTTTAATTAATACAAGACATAATAACAACGAGCATTAAGATTTTAAAAGTTCTAACCCAATATGTACACTTTAAACTAAATATGATTATGTCAATTTAACTGTAATTAAATTGGTTTTTTTCTCTTAATATTCACTTCTCAAAATGTTTCTTCTTTTCTAACAGATGTTTGGATCCCCAACATGACTTGCGTTATTTGTCACAATGGTTCAGGTGAAGTAGGCTAAGAGAGAGACAAGGGTGTCAACACTCAACTCCATGTATCAATTCTTCGCAACGATTCACTGCAATCAACTCTTAAATCAAATGAAATTAACTTTGTCCATGAAAAATGCAGAAAGTCCTACACATCATCATCAAATATTCTGAAAGCTCAGAAAATAGACAACAATAAAAACATTCAGCCATGTGTTGTAAGATCAGGAGATAATTCTTGTAACTATATATTTTGATTTGATTCGATATGATTTTGAAGATCTACAAAAACATCCCAACAGGAATTCAGCAATCAGCAATGTCAAAATTGTCAGCAGAGGAAAAAGACATTTTCTGCAGGAAACCCTTCTTGGCCTCTGTGAGAGAAGATCTTATGATAAGGCAGCTGATGTTAAAGTTTGCATTATTGTTGCTGGTGACATTTGTGCAGTTGAGGCAATATACCACAGACACTGTATGCAGTGTTTTATGTATGGACATGACAGGACAGCCACTGAAAACTCTTGAGCCTTCCTGAGAGAATGCAAATGAAAAGTTGTACACTGTACAAGAGCTGTTGGATCAGAATGCTGTTGTTCTGTCTTCTGGGATTTCACCCAACATCCTGAAGCATTATAAAAGCAGCCTCCTTCAGTATTTTGAATCAAGGATCACTATTGCAGAAATAGATGTAAGACAAACAAATTTAAACTTATCCTATCTCACACTTTGCATTTCTCCCTTCTTCTTCGATCCTATGTGGGAACGTGCTTGAATCATGTTTCCAGCTTCTAAAACTAAAAATAGCCACCCAAGCCCCCCTGCATCTCCATGGTTACGTCCAAAAGCTAGGTCAATTACGTGCTTCTCGTGTACGCAGTGCCTGCTTGAACTGACCACATGTGCACCTACCAATTCATTCTCTTTTTCATCGCCACTGTGTGGCGACGTGTTTGAAAACATCATACAATCATTGTCCTTCGCCAGGTTTTTTGAGTTCCTAAATAAATATGGGAAAGAAGGACAATCAACGTCCTGCTTGAAAAGAAG